AATGGAAAATACATACAAATATAAGAGGCAAATTTATCTTGCAGTAGGCCCTCATTTGATGAGTTATTTCTTATTTGCGTGGCATCACCAGGTAATATGTAGCGATATTTCTGGTGAACTCAGCCCTAAATGGGTGCTTAGTGCGGTGTCTAAATATCGCCATTGGGGAGGCAAAGGCGATAATATAATAGGGGTTTTCCCCTTTTTTCTGGCAACAAAACTGAAGCTTTTTACAAGGATTCATGTCTGCATTAACCACAATACTTGCAGTCAAAATGCAAACAAAAATAATACTATTGTAATGCGGGCGTAAATGGGCGGGGCGGATATGACGATCCGAGAGGGAGGAGTCAGGGTGACGTGGGGGAGAAGTTATAGCGGGGAGACAGGAAGCTATCTGGGTCAGTCGGGGGAGTGAAGGGTGGTGAACACGTTGGGTGGTCGCCGTGCCTCAGCCTGGTGGCTGAGGGGCTCATGACGGCGCCAGCCAGCGGGGTGGAAGAGAGAGTGGAGGATTGAGGTAGGAAGTGGCGAGATAGCCACAGAGGCCACGAAGGGCTGAGGTAGGAAATGGCGAGATAGCCACAGAGGCCACGAAGGGCTGAGGTAGGAAATGGCGAGATAGCCATAGAGGCCACGAAGGGCTGACATTGGGAGGTGGCGAGATCGCCACGCACGGAGGAACAGGGAGCAGAGATGGAGCTGCTGGGGGAGCAGCCAGAGGGCTGTACCAAGAGCCTGCAGCGGAGCTGCAGGAGTGTGGAAGGCTACGGGAGCGAAGGCAGATGTGGGGCTGCCAGGGAGAGAGTCTCAGGAGGAGTGCCGTGTGGGAAGGAGAACGCGAACCCCAAATAAAGGACACGGAGTCAGAGAGAAGTGTCTGAGTCCTTTTATTACACTGGAGTCAGAAGTGAAACGGCATCTCAAAACAACTGAGAGAAAGAAGAAAAAAAGAATATTCCTGCGCCATCATCTGCTACATCATCGGACGACGACGACCTTCCTCAGACGGTGGACCTGCCTGCGATGGAAGAGGAGATCCGTGCTGGAACGAGTACGGGTCCGGGTGAGCAAGGTGTCGCCGCGTTGGTGGACCTGTCTGTGCCGGAGGATGCCAACTTACGATGGAGACAGATGGCGGCGCAGATGGAGACCTTGAAAATCGTGCTGGCGCAACTGTGTGAGTTCACCACGCCGAGGACGGCGTCGGGGAGGCCCGGTGGTGATCCGCAGGCCTCTGCCTTTCCTGCGCTGCCAGCGCCATCTGCCACGTGGCACGAAGACGCCATCTTGGGCGTGGCAGGGGAGAAAAGGCGGGAAGCCGCCATCTTGTCTTCACCGCGGCGGGAGGACGCCGCCATCTTCAACATCGCGGCGGAGAGGCAGCCTTGCGCTGCCATCTGGAGGTGCCGCGGGGTGAGCAGCCTGCTGTGAGCTGCTGTTTTTCGAGGGGGTGCTGCGAGGAGAAGACGCCGATGCTGCAGCTGCTGGGGCGGGAGCTTCCCGTCCTGGTTCGGGTGCGTGACAACGGAGCCGTCAAGTCGCCGAACGAGTTCTGCGAGGCGTCTCAAGTTGCCACCCTGCCGTCCTCTTCTTGCTGCAGCCCCGGGCGAGTCATAACGATACGCACCCGGCCTTAACACACACCTCACTCATCTTTCGAGGGCCGGGGGGGGGCTATTTTGGTTTTCTCTTATGACTCGATTGTGCGGAGCGCGGTTCGGACTGTCTGTATGTGTGTGTAATAACGATGAACGCGCTATCTGCTTGTTGCTTGGTGTCAATGTAAGTGTGTGCGTGTGTTGAGAATGGACGGAGAGTCTGCTGTATTTGCTGAGTGTCAAATTGTGTGTGTGCGCTGCTGCGTGGAGTTGTTATCTTGATGGTGAAGTTAATTATTAACTTGGGAGCGTCGGGTATCTTGCGCTGTATTATTTGTGGGTTACCTTGTGCGATGGGCTTAATTGGAAAAAAATAATATATATTTTTTTTGGTGTATTGTGCTGTGAGGTGCTGTGTGCGATGCGATTGTTGCAAGAGAGAGAATAATTGTGTTGTTGCTGCAAAGTTACGACAGGATTAATGGTGTGTTGGTTGCCTGCAGATCTGCTTGCTATTGTGCTTAAATGTACGCGTGTGATCGCGATATGCTGATTGCATGTGCTGTTATACCGTTCTGTATGGTTATGGGGTGCGATGCAGTGGTTGACTATTGGAATTGAGATTGTTATTATATTGTGCGTACCTGTTGGAAATTGGTAACAAATTCGAGGGGGACCCAAATATTTGGTCGTATGGTTGTTGTGCACACGAGATTGCGTGTATATTATAGGGGTAATTGAGCTTTTTGAGAATGAGGGTGCGCGATGACGCCGTTGTGGGTGGCTTAGATGTTAATGCTAATTGGATCGTAAATTGGCGCCAAGTGGCGTCGCGTATTCGGTTGATCGCATGCAACCACGAGTTGCTTGGCGAGTTGGGTTGTGTAACCAATGTGGTTGGTAAAATATTGGTTAAAAATTCCACGATATGACAGCTGTGCGCAGCAAGCTGGGGCTGTGCGTCTATCGTTGGTGGGGTTGTTATAATGTGACGGGAGATGCGTCTTGTGACCCCCAGCTAAGGGAAGCTGGGGTGCACGAATGGAGAAAACTGGCCACGTGTTCGCACGTTGGGCCGCCATTTTGCGCGCACGCGGGGTATGGTGACGATGCGCTTTGCGGAAAGGGCCGCCATTTTGAGTGCGCGCGAGAGATTGCGCGAACGCGCTGGGCGAAGGGGGACGCCATTTTGAGCGCGCGGGAAAAACCGGGGTGGGGCAAATATTCCATCTGTTATGCCTGCCATTGTTGATTGGGTGATGCACGAGTTGTGGTCACATCGGGCTATGGCTGATGGCTGACCTGACAGCCCGGAGGCGAAACCTCCGTGGTATGTCTTAAACTAATGGGCCATGTGCTCATATGGCTCGGGGAGTCGTGGTTCAGTTGTGCGGTGGCAGACTGAACCTGGTGTGCCGGGGGCTCACGGGATCTGGGTTAGGGTGTTATTGTCTCTATAAGAGAACATTGCCCCGTGGGGGGAGTACAGGGGGTCTGGCATTGCCGGGGGATGAACCTTCCCTGGGCTATAAAGCATCGGACTATACGAGGCTGGTGTGTGTCCATCTCCGATGGGATAGTAAGGGAGGAGCATGGCCGAGTTGCTGCTCATCCCCGAAATTGCACTAGCTGAGAGGATGGTCAGTGGATGTTGCTGTGGGTTGACGACCACGGTGGGGGTTAGGGCGAGTTAAACGTTACCGCTGGGGAGCGTGGCTCTCTCCACACGAGGGTGTGCGATTAGGCGTTTTGTTGGGTTGCTGAGAGTGACCGTGGGTACATGCTGTGTACGTGCGATGTCTGTGCTGGTCCTCAAGGGAGGACTGCTGGTGGGTAAGAGCAGGAAATTTTGTTGTTGTCACGTGTAAATAATATTGTTGTTAAAATGTAAATACTGGGGCATCCATTGCGTTATTTTAGGTATTTATGGGGAGTTTTTTTTTAAGCGGGCTGGATTTACATCATCTCCACTACCCTGAGGCCGGGTGGCTGTCGTGTACGACATGCGGATGTGCGTTGTTGTGCTGTGCCTCAGGGGATTGGATTCTCCTTCTCGTCACAGATTCTTCAGCTCCCGTCGCACTGGGTGTTACCTGGTGTGCTAGCTGGATGAGGACTTGAAGGAGCAATTGAGCGCCGTTCGTCATTCTGCTCTACCACTTGCTCTTTGACGTTGGACTTGAGCCGAGCGGATGGAACTGCAACATGGACATGCACTAAAACATCACATTTCTGGGTTGTGCGCGTTGGCCGTTCTTGCGTGTCAGTTGCCGTTTTTGTTCATTGTGCCATTCTTATTCTTGTTGTTGTTGTGCGGAGGACAGGCCGGTGTTCTGTTCCAGTTCCTGATACCTCCCCTTTCGTTGCTTGTGTTGTTGTTGTTATAATCTCCGTTGTGTCTGGGGGACTCCTGATTGTGATGCCTTCGCCCGCATTATTTTGTTCTGTTTCAGCCGAGGACGGCTGGGATTTTCTCTACGGGGGAGGGTAGTGTAATGCGGGCGTAAATGGGCGGGGCGGATATGACGATCCGAGAGGGAGGAGTCAGGGTGACGTGGGGGAGAAGTTATAGCGGGGAGACAGGAAGCTATCTGGGTCAGTCGGGGGAGTGAAGGGTGGTGAACACGTTGGGTGGTCGCCGTGCCTCAGCCTGGTGGCTGAGGGGCTCATGACGGCGCCAGCCAGCGGGGTGGAAGAGAGAGTGGAGGATTGAGGTAGGAAGTGGCGAGATAGCCACAGAGGCCACGAAGGGCTGAGGTAGGAAATGGCGAGATAGCCACAGAGGCCACGAAGGGCTGAGGTAGGAAATGGCGAGATAGCCATAGAGGCCACGAAGGGCTGACATTGGGAGGTGGCGAGATCGCCACGCACGGAGGAACAGGGAGCAGAGATGGAGCTGCTGGGGGAGCAGCCAGAGGGCTGTACCAAGAGCCTGCAGCGGAGCTGCAGGAGCGTGGAAGGCTACGGGAGCGAAGGCAGATGTGGGGCTGCCAGGGAGAGAGTCTCAGGAGGAGTGCCGTGTGGGAAGGAGAACGCGAACCCCAAATAAAGGACACGGAGTCAGAGAGAAGTGTCTGAGTCCTTTTATTACACTATGATAATATATGCATTGTCCTTGAAACTGATTGGTCCACACCAGGGACGGCTTTCTTTTGAGTCTCGACCCAATTGGTGCTCGACCAGAGGACGCCAAAAGGTGTACAGCTCAAATACAATGCACTATCAAAGTACTTTACCGAAAGAAACAAGAAGATTTGGAACTGATTGGACTTGTTGATGACTTGTGCCAGCAATGTCAAGATCGGCCCCTGCGGCGGAGTTTTTGATAGAAAGTCGAATAACTTTTTATAAGATCCCTAATCTCAAGATCTGACCAAAAGTCACCCAGGCACACACATGTTATACTTTACAGATTTCAAATCTTTATTCACCAGATTACTATTAAGCATGCATCGATTTCCAAATGCTTTAGATATATTACGGGTTTTTGTGGCAAATAGTGTCGCTTCGTGTGAATCAGTTTTTGAAAAGAAAGTTAAAATTTCATGAGAGCAGCTTTCAGTCTTTCACATTATGAAGAATCATTGCCATTTTCCACCCCAACTAGTAAACCATCTTACCCAACAAGATATGCCATGATTTTTGGAATACCACAAAAACACTGTTAAAATGTTCATTTTTGTATATATTTCCATGAAGTATTTTCTTAATTACATTTTCCCATAGTTTTATTACGCACACTATGATAACAGTTTTCATATCAGGCCATTTACACAGAGGCGTCTCAGGTAACTTTACATGTAACAAGCGAATTGCATCACAAACTTGGTTTTTTTCAGCCTCCTTGTGCAAAACCAGTCTTGTTTTTATGGAGTTATTAAACCAAAACTCACAAACTCATGGGCTGTGTTGACCAGGGAAGGTGAAGGTAAATCACTGATAACCTTGCCACGTACACACTCTTAGACAACCTCAATGATGGACAATCTCCCTGTGGAACGCATCATCTCGTCTGGATGCGCCGATCATTGCAATGGTCCCCTAGAAGATATATAGATCGCCTCTGAGTACCCCAAAACCAGTCTTGTTTTTATGGAGTTATTAAACCAAAACTCACAAACTCATGGGCTGTGTTGACCAGGGAAGGTGAAGGTAAATCACTGATAACCTTGCCACGTACACACTCTTAGACAACCTCAATGAAGGACAATCTCCCTGTGGAACGCATCATCTCGTCTGGATGCGCCGATCATTGCAATGGTCCCCTAGAAGATATATAGATCGCCTCTGAGTACCCCTACTGCTCAATAGCCATGGCAATTAATTTAAAAAAGACGCGAGTTGATGTCACAGGTCAAAATATAACAAATAAATGCATCGTACATAGTTTAGACGGCACTTACGTTTGCTGTCACGTATAATCAGGTTGGGCCAAATAGTTTAGAGTTTAGACAGTCCATGAATTGTCCATTGTGTCAATGTTGAAAGAATTAAGCAACATTGAAAAATAGAAAGTTTTTTATTCATCTCCTGCCAATGCCAACAATCACCTTTCCACCTTAGTCAAGTGGTTTTCACATCATATGCATTTTTTCTCTGCCAGGATCCATTACAGGTGTTGCAAAACCAAAATACCATGTAAAAAACTATCAGAGTTGTCTGATTTGACCCAAAAACTTTGTTCATCTATTGACTTGCAAACCTTGTTACATTCTGGGGCAGTTAAAATCCAGTATTCAGCGATATAAATGAACATTTTAACAACAATTTACAACGAGTTCATTTTTTACATAATGATTTACTGCATTAATTATTTTGATTTACAGTTCCCATCATTAACATCCATGATCTATAGTATTGTGTCGGTGCAGGATGGTATAAGAGACTACTGCATGTTCTGGTGAATCCAGTCCAAGAATTTGGTGACCCTGCTGTAAACACCTGGCTGGTAAGCCCGTGCACAGCCATAGCCCCAGCTGGTGATTCCAGAGAGGTACCAGTGGCCGTTTGAGTCCTGGCAAACCAAGGGACCCCCAGAGTCTCCCTGCAACAGACACACACACACGACATCAATGTTAGAAGTTGAATGACAAACAAGGAGGCCTAATGGAGCGATGATTACAGTGATCCAGTATAAGCAATGGCATGTCATGATACCAAAGAGGGGATGTCAAAAGGCCCAATAATTAGGTTTAAATGTTTAGTGCAAAGAGCAGTACAGCTGAGGAGAGCTTGAAATGTTCAACGGGACTGGGATCCTGAATGAGGACATTGTTGTTGAAGCTCCAGTTGATGTTGGTCCACCCACACTCCTTCCAGTAAATTGGCACCCAAATGTGTACGTGAATTGACTGGATAAGTTTGCTTTCCAAGTTCCCCCTGGTGGAACATAATTGGGCCCATAGTCGTAATGTGCTCCAGATGGTTTTTAGGCAATAGAGTTGCGTCTTGTTGGTTGTTATCGCAGCTCACCTGGCAGGTGTCCACCCCTCCTTCGAGGTACCCTGCACACAGCATCCTGTTGGTGATTAGAGATGGGCTGTAGGCCTGCGGCCCTGGGGTCACGCACGTCTTGAAGATCTCTACTGAAGCCTCCTGAAGCCGGTCGAGTGTGTAGCCTGTTAAGTACAAGAAATCGTGTTGGAAACCGTGTACCCTTTCTGCTTGTTAAAGTACTATATTTCATCAAGACTTAGATCGTGGTACATTTAAATGATAACAACATAGCACCTGTATATCAGCTTAATGCCTATTTCAGATATTCCTCGAGCACCAGAGAGCTCTGTTACCCTACTGCCATCATTCCAATGGATTTTTACAAAAAACTAGTTTCCTAACAAAGATTTGGGCCTCCATTAAATCAAATGAATTATTCAGTAGAAGAGATGTGTATATTATATTTGTTTTTCATTATACAAACATTCCCCCAAAATAAAATAATGTTCAACTATCGATTATGTTGAACTTGTGCCGTCGGAAAATAACATTGCACCGATTCATAAATTAATATCACGATACATGCCTTGAATCGTGGGCATAACAATGGATTTTTTTAAATATTAGTATCTGTTGTACATTAGAAGTGCTACATTTAACACAACGTAAACAACTCAAGGGTTGTAATCCTGAGTTTAAACAGAAGGGCACTGCTTTCTATGAGGAGATCGATTGTATTAGAATATTAATCGGGTAATGTGGAGGCTCAAAACATGACAATACTGTGGTTTCTTTGTTCTTACACCATAGACACTGAGATATGGATACTAAATAATCTCTCAAACTATGCTCTATTTCGTGGTCAAAAAATCTTCTGAAACCACGTGTTTTCCCAGGTTTGGAATATTTCACCTATGGACTTACCACCTTCAAAAAGGGTTCCCCAACCAGAAATGAAGCATGATTTCCCTGGGTAGGGAAACTTCTGAAAGCGAGGTGGGAGGCAAACTGGCTGTATGTAATCGGTGAAGGAAACACGTTCTGACAGCTCCATGAGAGCAATGTCATAGTCATGGCTGCTTCCGTTGTAGCGTTCGTGGATCAAGATTCTGTTGACGCTTCTGGCCACGACAGTTGAAGCGCTGAGATCGTTCTGAGAGTGCAGGCCCAGGTATACCGTCCAGGTGTTTGGGTTGTTACTAGGAGGGTAAATACACAGACACCACATTCAGCATCAAATACAACAGGGCATTATAGATTTTTTTACCAAGGTAAGCCTCATTAAGTCTCAGGACTTTTTCAGGAGGGTCCTGCCAAGTTGTTTTGGTAAGGGTGATGACTGCTGCTCTGGATAATCTCAACTGAGTAATTGGTGTGGGTCAGTTTTACAAGTAAGCAAATTTGGACTGTGGCGCCGGCAGGCATCACACTTGTAAGTGCACTATGAAAAATCATACCTGAATGTGAAAAAAATCTCAGATACTTAATGCCTCTTCCACTTATATTCATGCCTCTTTCTGCAATAAAATTATACAAAAATATCTTCTAAGGGTGTTGTGATTCATTGTGCGATTGGGAGGAGCGGTGGTTCATTGGTTAGCACACTGCACTTATGAACCTGTTGACCCACGTTTTAATTCCCCAAGTTTGATTCCGAATCACAGATAACGTTATTCGTGACCAGTGTGGTGAGGTATGGTCGAACAATACCCCATGACCAACACGGCGTGTGAAGGCCTTCATCCCAAAAGCGATCTGACAAAGGGTTGCAAGTTGTGATTATCAAACTTTTCTGCTGTGTGTAGCATTTAACACAATGCATCCTTTTAAAGTATAACAAATAAAAATAGGTTTTAACTTTTCTGGCAATAAAACAGGTGTTAAGATGTTTAAAGACCTTTAACAAGGAATCAAGTTCATATTAATCACACGTACTTGTGGTGTACATGCAAACAAACTTGCTCTGATAATAATATATGCATTGTCTTTGAAATCGATTGGCCTACACCAGAGACAGCCTTCCTTAGGGCCTAGTCTTACCAATGTCAGACCAGAGAACATCAAAAGGCGAACAGTACCAGGACAATGCACATATCAGACCATTTATAGCTCGGAGTAAAGTGTTAACAAGACATGTGAAGCAACATAAACGCTCACCTATTGAAGCAATGAGCAGCACTCACAACCCAGCGGTCACTGAGGAGGGAGCCCCCACAGGCCAGTCTGTTGAAGTTGTGCAGGCTCGCTTGCCAGGGCCATTCTCCGAGCCTTGCTTCGTAGCCTCCCACGATCCGGTTGTTCACTCTGCGTTCTGCTACAGGGATCCAGCCACATTCTGAAAAACAACAAAACACAATTACTATTACAATACAGGTTTTTTTTGGGTTAGATCGCATAAATATACGTGCCGTTAAACCCGACACAGCCAACTAGTAAAGGTTGTCACGTAAACAGAACATGCCAATTCGCCACTAGTACAGCACACCGGTGTGTTGGAGAGCCAAGCCACAACATTTACAATCTGAGTACAATTTTTTCCCAGTAATTACAACTAGCTTCATTAGACAGCAGCCAGATTTGAGGATAAGTCCACCTGTTTCGTTCCTTATATAGAGGCGTAGATGTGATGACAACACTTGTGCGTTCTTCTTGTCCAAGGTGGGGGGGGGGGATTAATGAATCAACGTACATTATGCGTGCACATTATGCGAGCCCATTGATCTTGTACTTCCTGTCCATTGCTTGTACCAGAGACAGCCTTCTTTAGGGTCTCGTCTCACCAGTGTCAGACCAGAGAATGTCATCATCATTGTTTGCCATCTTCATATATTCATCTATCATTTTAATATTTATCAACCATGGTTTATTCATTGCTAGATGAAGATGTCTCTAATGCACAACGATTTTGCTTACAGTTTTACGCTAGGCACTATATTTTGCAAAACAATAGTAGATCATGAAATGACATTTCGAACTTACAATTACCGTCGTAAATTTATAATTTACCCATTTTTGTATTACTCACGGAATTCCTACAAGAAGCGAATGAACCAAAGGATGGTCAGTATATACTGTAAACCGATAAATTAAGATTTAATCAATACCTCTGCTGGCTGGTAGTGGGTCAACTTTGTAGAACTCCAAACTGAAGCCATATTCTGAAACAGGAAATGAGAAAACATTTCACGTGAATATTGTGTACAATACAAAACGTAACACAGCTATAACTGAGTCCGATGTCTTAGAAAGAAGCAACAATATCGCATACAGTGCAAAAACCTAAAACAGTTATAACCGAGATGAACACGTAGGCTTTCGCGACCAATATCATCCATAAGAGCTTTTTTGGGTTAGATCGTGTAAATATATGAATAAAATTTGACTTAAAATATATAAATGTGTCGTTAAAACCTGCCACCACCCGACACAGCCAACTAGTAAGGGTTGTCACGTAAACAGAACATGCCAATTCGTCAATAGTACAGCACACTGGCATGTTGGAGAGCCAAGCCACAACATTTATAATCTGAGTACGACGTTTTGCCAGTAATTACAACTAGCTTCATCAGGCGACAGACATATTTGTGGAGAAGTCCACCTGTTTCGTTCCTTATATAGAGGCGTGGATGTGGTGACCATACTTCTGCGCTCTTGAGCAAAGTGGGGGGGGGGGGGATTAATGAGTCAACGTACATTATGCATGTGCATTATGCCATTATGCGAGCATTTTCATCTTGTCCTTCCTGTTCATTGTGTGTATTCAAATATCTGTACCAACGATCCGGCGCCTCCCATCAGCAACGGCCGGCTGCGAAAATTTTTCAGAATGCGTACCTACGCACGTACACACACGCGTACAAAACAAGGATACCTTGCATGAAGTTGTCCGAGACTTGAAACACGAGCGTCACGTTGTTGGAGAGGGAGCGCACGCCCGGCGGCAGAGATTGGCCGCAGAATCTGCCCAGAGAATGTCCCCGCTGCTGGGCACCGCCGTCGTACACGGTCAGGGAGCTGTTGCCACACAGCTCGCTCCCCGGTAGCCTTTTTTAGGGTGAGAGGTAAGAGACAAACTGTGTAAACAGCGGTTTGTTTTGGTCAGGAACGGTTAATAATAAAAAAATCAAATGGCGAGTGCCGTAACTTTGGGCCTGTAGAAACGTTTCGACGCAACGTGGGAGTGTTCCCCATCCGTGTGCGTGGGGAACGGAGTAACGGGTTAGCGTGCTGAACCGCTTCTGGGCCTCCCCTAGGGTGACTCAGCCTTAAATTAGCACCTGGTGCGATTTGTAAGCATCGCCACTGAGGAGACAAAAGCTGTGCTGGCCTTCGTAGGTGATCGCTAACAGCACTTGCCCCAACAGTCTGTTAAGGCCATATGGGGGGATGTTTGTAATTTGTCTATGGCAAACAATGTAAATTATGATCGAACGTAAACATAATTTTGACGGTGGTGGTGATGGAAAATTATGACATAATAATAACAATAATGCAAATTAATTGGATTATGATGATAAATAGGTACTGATGATGATTAAAGGGTGCTACTGCTGCATATGATGATGATAATGATGACCATATTGCTGTTCCTAATGCTAATTTCGGTTCCGCTGCTGATGAAGACGATGAGGAAGATGAAGAAATGCAGAACGGGAAGTGTTCCTGAGAAAGCCACACTTACTTCTAAGACTCGTTTTGAAGCTTGTTTCACATGTGGGAAGAAACTATTTAAAAAAAAAATTTGTTTTACCACATAAGGCCCATTGAGCTCTGCAGATCTTTTTCAGAAGCAACCTGGCCACAAATGATAGCCCAATGAAGTGGCTTATGTGGAAATTTATAGCAGCCAAATCATCTTAAATGCATGTTTCTCAATGTGCAGGGAAAAACTGGAGGATATGGAGAAAAATCCACGCGACCACAGGGAGAACGTGCAAACTCCAAATATACAGCAGGCATCAGGGTTGAGATCGAACCCATGTGCTTCTATATACCAGGTGAGGTAGTTCACATCTCGCCACTGTGGCACCCCTGTACCCACAGGCAACACTTTGAACTAATTACACTCAAATGTCCACACAGATTCAAGAACCCATTTCTATACCGTCTTCTCCTGGCCATCTCAGCACACTCACCTGTGCTGTCGCCAGGAATCATAAATACGTCACAGGGTTCAGAGTGCGATGCACAAAGCACTGTGCCATCACTCCCCACATTAAACTAAACTATTTTTTATTTGACCAAGTAAGGCCCACTGAGCTATATCGTTATTTTTCAGAAACGACCTAGCCCCACATGGAAGCTCAAAGAAGTGGCTTATCATGGGGACATTTATAGCAGCCAAATACTGTGGCGTCACGGTGGCGAGATGTTAACTTCCTTTAACTCCCTCGCCTGGTATTCAGGAAGTCGTGGGTTCGATCCCAACCCTCACACATGTATATTTCGAGTTTGCATGTTCTCGCCATGGTCGTGTGGATTTTTTTCCGGGTGCTCCAGTTTTTCCCTCCACATTTTAAAATCAACGTGTTCAGAGTATTTGGCTGCTCTCAATTTCCAAATGATAAGCCACTTCGTTGAGTTATAATTTGAGGCCCAGTCGCTTCTGAAAAATAGCTATATAGCTCCGTGGGTGTTACCAGGTAAAACAAAAAAGTTTATAGTTTTAAACTCTAAACCCATGTTTCTAAATGTGGAGGGAAAAACCGGAGGACCCGGAGAAAATTCCCACACGAGCACGGGGAGAACACGCATACTCCAAATAGAAATGTAACACGATGCCTAGCCGACCCATGTGATGGAGCTCGATTGGTGTCCACCGAGGGAATGAGCGTGCTGCTGATAACGCACACACCTCCATTTTGCTTCAAACTCCCCTGGATGTTAATGGAATGCGCAGTGTTTTTTGCTGTTGTTCGTAGGATAGGGCTTGACCCAGTCTGAATGGTGGGAATCGAGCCAAAATAAAACTGTCAGGGTGAATCGGGCAGAATAAATTTTGTGCAACTTGTAGAGTTTCACAATTTGTCGAACGTGTGGTATGTAACTCTACAGGAATCAGGCCTTTAAAAATAAATATTATTAATGTAAATATATCAGTGTAAAATTGTGTGTTACTCACTTGAAGTAGTTAAATTGCAGCTTGACAAAATAGCCATTAGGAACTGTAATGTCCACAGTGCAGAGCATATTTGTTGCGTAGCCCAGGTCATAAAAGCTGTTTATTCTGCCAGAGTCGCCTTGCAAACTCAATGAACACCGATCAATGCCTGTCAAAAGGATTACAGTTCGTAGAGATGACATTGAGACATCAGTCATTGAATGCAGACATCGATCTACAATACATATTTGTTAAATGCTCAGTATATACTGAATTTGACTGCCTATATAACGTACGGTATTATGTATGGTACGCACATGAATACAGTAGATATTTTCTCTATATTATTTCCACCCTGATATCCTCATTGTGCGATTAGCGTTGCCTTATGGAGATGAATCCATTTTAAAGTCTTCAATATTCAATAGCAGTCTGCAGAAGCAGCTGTCAGAGAACTACGTCTGCGACACACATACATTTTCAAATTTCGAAACTAGAGGGTGAAGCATTTCCCCACCTGCCCAAATAATACAAAATTATCAAAGCCAAACCGGAGTGCAACGTAAAATTGAATGTGATGGTTTTGGTGTTTGATCATCGGTGACTGGGCTGAGACCACCAACTCACTACACCTGGGAACCCGGCTGCATCATGGCCGGCTGCCTGGATTCCCACTGAGGATCTCATCAGTGTCAGCTCAGGGCTCTGTCTTCTGAGCCATGTGGTGGCCACTTTTCATAACCAGGCGTTAATTTTTTTTATATACCTGGGCGGTACACAATGGCAGTTATTTTACCAAGTAATTTTTTTTGCGATATGCATTCTTAATGATTCTACGGTCTGTTCTAGAATGCTATAGTAGTTGAGTACCAAAGAAAACGTGGGTAGCATCTAGACTCATCCAGCAGCATCCCACCTTGTGTGATGCTACGCCAATTCCTACTCACGCGACGTAGTTCTGTTCACTCAATCGCGTTATATCCAATTTGCGTTATGAAAACACGCAGCGTTATAAGAGAACTGACTACTGTACATCTCTCCCATCTCTTTCATAGCGCCCTTCTGAATAGATGTTAATTATTTCTGTTACACGTCTTCTAAAACGTATATATATTCTCTCATCTTACTCCACCTGTCTTATTTCATATTGATCGGGAGCTGTCACTCAAGGTGCTTAAAATAGTTAAAAGAAAACGGTGACAAAATAGAATAATTCAGATGGCAGGGGCGTGCAAGGGTTGAGTATTGAGTGAGCATTATAGAGGGTGCTTCAGGATCACGAAAGGGTAGTAGGTATGACATTTCTCTCTCTTATCTAACTATTTTGCTAATCTTAATACTTTGCTCAAGCTGGTCTCTCTTCTATCATCTTAAATATCGAAGAAAATATTTATTTAATTTCACTACATCTCATTATTTTGTTGACTTCTACTCCTTTATCTCTTCTGGCTATCTGTCTCCACTTATCTCACTGCATTTCTCGCACTTTTCTCCCAATTCCCAAAAACGTATTGATTCACTTACACGTCTCAAATCAATGTCCTCGGTGAACAGTTGTGTAGGTGTAAAAATGTTAAACAGGTAAACAACGCGAGGACGTACGGCCACTGAAACGCTGAAGTTGAACTTACTCTCATAATTTGCACTGAACCCTGTGTATACGACGATGTTGTCAGACGTGAATGTGACGTACAAGTCGCTTCCAGATGAAATCAGGGCTTGGGGCATAGTGAAGCCAGTAAATCTACCCAATTGGGGGTAATCTCTTGAAGGTCCATCGTACACCATCACATAGTCATAATTTTGTTCAATTCTGGGAAAGAAACAGGTGAAGTTAACATTCGTATTATTAGTAATAATTATGCTGTATACTGTTTAAAATGTAGGCTTTTGCGACCAATATTATCCATAATAGGTATTTGGGATAGATCGCGTAAATATAAATGTGTCATTAATATAAATGCGTCACAAATCTGGCTGTCGCCTGATGATGCTAGTTGTAATTACTGGAGAAACGTCGTACTCGAATTATGCCGTACTAGTAAGAAACTGGTATGTTTCGTTTACGTGACAAACCTTAATATTTGACTGTCGGGTGGTGCCAGGTTTATCGACGCCATTATATTTACGCAATCTCACCCAAAAAAACCTCTTATGGATGCTGTATACAGTAGTCAATTATTAAGGTTTGCTCATATACACTGCTTTTAAAGTGTTAACAGCAGTGGTGGCCAATTTGTGGATCGCTATTTATGGGTGGATCGAAGGACAAAGAACCAATATTAACTTAAGCAGATATAGTGGCATGTGATGTATGTGTGTTGAACTTATTTTGCACCGTACGTAGCCAACCGGGCTTATCAGAGTTTGCAATTGGCTTAAAAGATCAAAACAGCTGAAGAGACCGAAAACAAAAATCTAATATGCAGCCCAGATTAAGCTCTCTGACTCTAATTTTCTTTTAGATCTTTTTTTATTCTGGCTTTTTCATTATATTTTCCCTTTATATAGTGTTCTTATTGTCATACGAATGTTTTAGCATTTTCCTCTCTCAATCCAACGCAACAATAATTTTCTTTCCAGCCTCTCGCGCTTCTCCTCCCATCCCAACCATCTCCTTTCCTCCTCTCACTCACACTCCTGCTTCCTCTGCCCTCCACCTTAGTGTCACCTTTGACTCCTTCCTCACTTTCTCTACACACATCTCCGCTACTACTTAGCAATCTACCGCTTTCTTCTGTTCGACAACAGGACAATTGGCCGTTTCAACCTGCCGCGAAACTCCTGGTTCCTCCTCTGATCTTCAACCATCGGGACTCCTGCAGTTCTCTGCTTCTTGGTCCCCCTGCCTCTGCCCTCACTCCACTCCAACAAATTTAAAATGCTTCTACATGAAGTTATTTTCACTGCCCTTTAATTTTCAGCACTTGGCCTCTCCTACTCCAACTCCGCTGGCTTCTTGTCCATTCCCTCTCTCTCTCTCTTTTCAAATAACTCACACTAAGTCATTACATGTCTCCATTGCCTTGCTAAACCTCATCTCGCCTTTCTCATCTCCTTCTGCGTCCCCTCTCATCCTCTTCATTCCAAATCTGCTCTCCGTCTCCCTGTTCCTCCTTCTCCCTGTGCCCAATTCCCATCTTCGGTCCTTCTAACCTCCTTGCACCCCTCCACTGGAATAAACTACCCCTGTACATTGAGCAGTACTGACCATAGACTCAACACTGCACCAAAGACTCAGCACGCCCATAGATTCGACACTGCTCGTAGACTTGACACTGTACCATAGACTCGACACTGCGCCATAGACTCGACACTGCACCAAAGATTCGATACTGCCCGTAGGCTCGACACTGCCCATGGACTCGACACTGCCCATGGACTCGACACTGCTTCTGTACATTAAGGAGTCCCCCTCCGTAACAGCCTTCCATTCCATTCTTAAAGCCTCACCTCTTCTGTTGTCCATTCCCTTCCCTCGCCCCTCCGCTCCTTCCCGTCCCTTCCATGCCCTTCCGTGAACCCTATGTACCCCTCTATCGCTGTCACTCATTCCTCAATCCTTGAAGCACGCGCCTGTCAACTAGAGGGACTCCTCTACATACAAAAGAGTTAGGTTCCAGAGGTCTGTTCTTAAGTCTATTTGTTCGTAAATCCAACTTTACTTCTGTCGATTCAAAATATGTTGTATGGCATGTACACTAAACACAGGGAATGGCCTTAAAAGTTGCATATTCTCCTGTAGATGTAGACGACACTGGTTTTCATGTTCTGCAAATGTAGATGACAACACAGATATCTATTGCGCAGTGGTTGAACTTATGACTATCGGTCCAATTAAGTAACTGGACATACAGACAGTTTTGTTAGTATCTCTGTAAGTTCCTGAGTCGAATGTTTGTAAATAGAGGAGTCCCTGTACTTCATCTATTTCTGTCATCGTTTTGTAAGCTATGTCAAGCGCATTGAGTGAAAGCGCTCTATAAATATACATTAGATTAGAATGTGTCACGTGCCTTGAAGCTTGCGGCATGAAAGCCACTATAAATAATGATTGTTATTATTTCCTAACAATTATGTTCCAGTTGTATAATCAGTGTCGTATCGTCAAGCGACCACACATTGCTGTTGGACATCTCACAGTGAGCATAACACCATTCTTGCGTCAAAGAACGGCCCCGGAAGATATAATCACAGAACTACTTCTGCAGTTACTGAAATATGCCTCTTCAGCCACAATAAGGTTACAACTCAAACATGGTTGGAATTAGCGCTGGATTATGACGACACATAACTTACAGGGGTTGTGTTTAAATGTAAGTTAATGACCCGTGTAAAATAAATGACAAATGTCGTGTGCCAACAACACCTTACCTGAAGTCTGTAAATGAGAGCCTGATTTGTTTGTTTGCTGGAGAGTGAATCAGCCAAGCACAGTCTTCATAGTTGTCATAGACACTTGGGTAGTTCGGTGATGAAATGACTCCACTGGTCTCATTGAACTGTTTTCTACAACCATATGCTGAAAAAAACGAAAACCTTTAACGGCAAGCCTAATAGAGCACATTCAGTTGTCTAACCATACAATACATATGAGTGTGTAGAGTATAAATATACCATAAGCAGGCAGTATTTATATACAAATGAGATATTTTCTAGATAAAATAATAAAAACTCTTCTTTGTAAAATACTTGAGTGCGATAGTCAAGTATATCGTCACAGATAAGTGAAGATGTTTTGTATTATAGTTCTCCTGTCTATATTTGTTTGAGAAAAATCGAGTGACAGGAACTATATTTGTGATCCCTCTGTGAAGTGCTTTGCTCTGTTTGAGACCACCAAACCCCACCTATATAAAATACAAAACATTACACATTTAAACGTATAAATTGCAATACAAATTTGAATGTATGCCTTGTCCAAGAACGTCCGGACAGGTGCAGAACAATGAGATTTTTTTACGGAGAGGCAGTCGGTCATGGACAAAGGAAAAATGAAAGTCTTGAGCCTGGACTTGAACGGCGGGCAGGGAATCGACGACAGAGGAGGGAATTCTCGTCAATGAAGGCAGTGGAGAGGAATGAGCCCACCTCCTTATCATCACGTGAACATTAATAGCGGTAGCCAAAGACTCTAAATGCATGTTTCTAAATGTGGAGGAGGAAAAAACAAACCGGAGGACCTGGAAAAAAAACTGGAGAACCCGGAAAAAAATCCACGCCACCACGGAAGGAGAGAGACATGCAAACTCCAAATATACAGCAGGCGACATGGTCGGAATCGAACCCACGACCACCTGTATATCAGGCGAGGTAGTTAACATCTCGCAGCTGCGACTGGAGGCTTAAAAGCAGGACACCTTGGTTGCTGTAGCAGACAGCGCATAGAGGGGAGCAAAGCGAGATGAGGTAGGAACGAGTCTGTTGAGGATTTTGAAGACGGTGAGTGCAATCTTGACGTTTGAGTAATACCTTCAAACCTTCCACTAAATGTTGCATTTTTTCGCTGAAGCCCTGGAAGGTAAATGGCAACGACAGGACTGCCTTGCATGGTCATGTTTATAGACCCGATGCGGCAGAAAGAGTTCTGTATATTCAACTGGGTGCCGTATGTATTTGACATTACAGCACCCACCAAATTGCTCGAGGAGCAACCCTCCGTGCCGTTCTGCTCTGATGGGCTGTAAAAGATGCAACGCAACAGCGGCATTAGCGACAGAAACAGGGTGAGACCTCAACTTAAAGCACTTCACATGGATGTGTTCCTCATATCTGCATCCATAATAGTGGTTCCAGTGTGAGTCGAATAAAACAAACCCGCTTAATTCCAGGAAAATGCTGAATCTCTCGTTGTAGCTGCCATTGATAGCCCACAGGCAGAAGTCGTTGTCACTTTCTGAAACGTGGGGGATCTCCAGGCGTCCTTCGGAGGCACTGATGAATTCGTAGCACGGATGGGGAGCTAAAAAACACAAGAGGCTGGCATCATGCGCTACGATTTTATCACAGAAATTAGACAATATTTATAAAAGGAATTAACATTCATGGCATGCATTACATACACAGTGTAAAACTGATAGTATCTGCAGCTACATTATCCATCCGTATTGGTATCTGCAGGCTCCAAAGTATTGATCGCTACTGCATTGGCAGTGGTGCACAAGCACATATTACAAAACATAAATCACATTCGTCAATAACACTATGGCCTTAAAAGTAAAATATATAATAGGTGACGTTTTTAGGGAAATGGTCTTTCTTCAAAGCACACAAATAGAGAGGCAGAGAGATGGAATGGATATAAGTTGGAGACTGCACTCTGAACCATTTTAGCATAAAATCAGCTGTCAAATCAGAATATTTACTTAGACCGGAGGAGGAATCCGATGAGCTATGAAGCTCATTTTCACAGATGTCCAGTATAGGCACAGGGTCAGTAAATGATCAGAGGGACGTTTGAAAGTCTTTTTGATCCGAACATTTCTTGACAACCTCTATATTTAAATGACAATCGGGCCCCTGAAATGCATCGCGAAATGGATTACGCGGACAGTGGTACGTTTAACCTCATTGCAAAAATCGGTACCCATCATGGAATGTACCATCAACATTTTATATATTTTTCCCTTTTAATGCAGATGAGTATTGCTTGTAATACTTTTCTTTTCATTGAAGGATTTGTTAATAAATAGGTACTAATAGGTAAGTATTTAAATGCGATTTAAAAAACATTCAATACACATACATGCTATTCTTATCAGACTTCATGGTGTAAAGGGAATTCTCCAAACCATATCCACTCACTCTGGCCTCACTATTTATGTGCTCTGAAGGCCAATTTCCTGAAACATCATCAAGTACATTTCCTTTTAAGACCGTGATATCGATGAATGTGTTGTGTATGTACCCCCTTTTTATTTTTTTTTAATATTATTTTTTTTTAAGGCTTATTCTGCCATCATATATAATATTGTTTTTTTAATAGACACGGGGCCACGTGGGAACGAACACGCCCCCACACTTCCACAGAGGCCCCACACTTCCACAGATGCGCGCATACCTCATTTCAAAGGAAAGACGGCATGAAAGAGGGTAATCAAGGTCATAAACTCCCCGAATTTCACACAAGAGGAACAAGGAATGGGGGAATTGCAGGCGGGGGGTTGCAGAACCAGGAGACACGGAGGAAGAGATAATTATATTCTTAACAAAGAAACAGCATCGACGACAAAAAGCACAGATGGGTCTTTGAACCATGTTAAATACACAAGTTACCAACTCAACCATAAAGATTAAGCAAACAGTATCCATCCTCACTCCAATTGAAAACCAAAAGACAATCTGCACCAGAATCGCGACCCATCATTGTTAATTAAGTACTGACATTATTTACCTTTAAAGAATATCTACACGGCCGGGCCGAAGCATCAAAGAATAATTAGGGCATCTATTTCGCTCCAAAACAAATTCCTAGCCGGGATATCAGATCAAATAATCACAAGAAGTCGAATAATAAGTACGGAATTAAAATAGAAGAGGAATCAAGGGCGGAGAAGGCTCTCAAAATTAACCAAACACAACACCCATGGGAAGCGAGCAACACGACCGCCTTTGTCTTTCCGAGAGGATCTCCACACACAGGCACCAAGCCAGGAAATGACACCCATAAAGGTTGGGTCCCGATGAAACATCGTGAACACGGTTTCGGCATAACTGTGCAGATGGAACCAAGCAGCAAATAAGTTGCATTTCAACTTCCAAACCAAACCAACTTAAGCTGTGTGAGACAAAGGATGTGATCCCAGAGCAAGGGAGGTAATAATTAAGCTCGCTTAACGCGTAAGTTTTCGCGACAAATATTATTCAGTAACATAACATGGATTCGAATGTTTTTTTATAACTCGACGCGAATCATCGGTCTGGCTAATGGATAACTTTGGTGGCACCGTCACGAGACCCCCACCCCTTTCTTCCAGAACGACACACACAGCTGTGTCTTCAAAGCTAATAAACACACGGACAAACACGCACGCGAAACACACGGACGGACACACACACGGACGCAGATGGTCCACCCCCACAGGAAGGTTTTATGACACAGCCTTTGAACAACTCGGGAAGCCGAGTGGAATTTTCCGATATAAACCGAAGGAAAATCCATACAAAGCATATCGTCCGGGCTTCGGCTCCAACACACATATCATCCGGGCTACGAGCCCATCTTCGGCTCCACCACAGATCGACAGGGGCTTTGGCCTCCATCACAGTTCGTCAGGGGCTCTGGCCCCCATCACATATCGTCCGGGCTTCGGCTCCAACACACATATCATCCGGGCTACGAGCCCATCTTCGGCTCCACCACAGATCTTCACGAGCTCCGGCCTACATCTCATCTCGTCTCCGGGCTAAGGCCCCACCAGAGTTCTCCAGGGCGACAACCATCTCTCCTCGTCGCCGCCAACGAAGAAGCTTTTCGTCATCCAGAAGGACGAGGATCGCGCGGTGCCGAGGCATCGCCTGCCGCGCACGAGTGTACGAGCCAGGCGCCCTTGCCGTGTCACCACGCCGAGGTGCATCGCCTGCCGCACACGAGTGTACGAGTCCAGCTCCCCTGCCGTGTCGCCACGCCGAGGTGCATCGCCTGACCACGCAAACGAGCGTGGCCGCGCGTCAGTCATCGTACGGGGTCAGCCAAGAAAGGAGTCGGAAAGCGAGCCGCTCACCCTCTCACCGCAGCTGCGCAAGCCAGAGGGTCCTTCTCCGAAAGTCGTTCGTACCCACAACTTCCCCCACCAATAGACCCACACACGCACGCATTGACGCCCCACTCACCTGTGAGACTATCCCATCTAGTTCACCCTTACCATCGTATCAACCCTAGTCAATTATCAGAAGACTGATTATCAACTACATGAACCATCAGCTGGCCATGCGGAATCGCGGCCCATCGAGTGATTAAGAGTCCGTCGGTTATAAGAGTAAAGTTGTTACCGTGTCTTTCCCTTGTTCCGCTCATCACATAGGCGATCAATAGACTCGTCAAGGCAAACTCAAACTCTCGGAATCCTCATTACGAATCGACCGAACACAGAGAGAGAATATCTTGTCAAACCAGTTTCCTTTGTCCCAGAGTCTCGCCGAAGAATTAATTACAACAGAGCCAGATTCGCTCTCGCGCCCACACGCCCTCACCCACCATTGTATCAAACATTCCGTTAAAAAGGATTTTAGACTTGCCGATGAATCTATTGACATATACTTTCGCCTCTGGGATACAATAAGTGCTTTTTATTACCGCCATATGAAGTGTGTCATGCTTGTTTTCAAACTCGACCAGTCGCCGATTGTGATCAATACATGGGCGAACTAATGATGCCTGGTAGAAAAGTAGAGGTTACAATTGATAGAAGTGTTTTTAGTCATTCAGTTCGTTAAATGCATAAGTGTTTATTCATTCATTTTAGTCAAATGCATAATCTCGTAATTGCATAAGAGTTTGGTTATTCATATTAGTTAATGCATAATATCGCAAATGCATAAGAATTTTTAGTCATTCAGTTCGTTAAATGCATAAGTGTTTATTCATTCATTTTAGTCAAATGCATAATCTCGTAATTGCATAAGAGTTTGGTTATTCATATTAGTTAATGCATAATATCGCAAATGCATAAGAATTTTTAGTCATTCAGTTCGTTAAATGCATAAGTGTTTATTCATTCATTTTAGTCAAATGCATAATCTCGTAATTGCATAAGAGTTTTGGTTATTCATATTAGTTAATGCATAATATCGCAAATGCATAAGAATTTTTAGTTATTCAATTTAGCTAAATGCATAAGTGTTTATTCATTCATTTTAGTCAAATGCATAAGAGTTTTCGTTATTCATATTGCATAATTGCATAATGTCACAACTGCATAAGTTTTTGTCGTTCATATTAGTTAATTGCATAATCTTGCCCATGAATTATTGACGCATGTTTGACCTGCATGATAGAATGTCACGTGCTTGTTAGAATAAAATTGTAATCCAGAAGCATATCGAGTGTTCCTTCCAAGTCCATGCAAAACTGTCTTATTCTTGACAACTGTATCCTGTGATGAGATATGAAAATGGAGACCTAAAATATTATAACACACACTAGGATAATCGGTAAATGAATCTATGATAATCGTGTTATCCTGATTGATAACCCTGGATAAACGAAACTAAGCAAATTATCGTAACTGCACACATTAACATAATCGCAAGCCTCCGCATAAATTACTACGATTATCATAATTTATGCATATAATCACACGCATTATCATAATTTATGCGTATTAATACACACACTATCATAATTAATGCGATTTGCGCATTTTTCGGAAAATTATTAATTTTTATTATTTTCATCAAATTTCATAATTCCAAGACATACAACATAATGGGTGGCTCGTCCGGGATCTCTCACAGACAGTGTTTTGCATGGATGATGGAATGAATCACTTCGTGTTAACCAGAATATCAGGATCGAACATTGCATGGTAATTGTGAAGTATGGACAATTGTGAACGGGCGGAAAACAAAAAACGCCCTCTAAGGTTAAAACCCAGAATAGCAGGTTAAAACAGAGACAGTGGAATTAAGATAATATCGTATCAAACCAATTGCATCCTGTGATAAATGGTGTTAGAGGTACGCACTCTGAATCGGAAAATAACAGATAGCTCGAGTCGAATTGACTACACTCTGTGAGATAATTGTTTTATATGCACTCTGAAAGGGAATGTCAAAGTAACTCCCGCCACACCTTGAGATGCTGGGATTAAGAATAATTTTTGAATGGGTTACGGGATACGGGGAGCTCGTATTTAAACGTACCGACCAATCTGTTACAAAGCAGTACAGTCAGAGAGACATATGGGAAGGGAGCTGTATCGATAACACGAACACACCTCGGGGGAAACTAATTGACTGGAT